AAAAAAAAAAAAAAAATAAGTTCAGATTTCCAAAGTTAAGAATTAATCTGCCTTCTCCATGCCAAGGAGCTCTGGTGGCCCAGTGGTTAAGGCATTTGGCTGCCAACCAAAAGGTAAATGGTCAAACCCACCAGCTGCTCTGAGGGAGAAAGATGACCCAGTCTGCTTCTGTAAAGGTTTGTTGTTGTTCGGTGCCATCGAGTTGTTTCCGACTCATAGCAACTCTACGTACAGCAGAACGAAACACTGCCCAGTCCCGCACCAGCTCCGCAATCCCTGCTATACTTGAGCCCATTGTTGCAGCCACTGTGTCAATCCACCTCGTTGAAGGCCTTCCCTTCTTTCGTTGACCCTCCACCTTACCAAGTATGACTGATATCCTTCTCCAGGGAATCGTCCCTTCTGACAACATGACCAAAGTAAGTGAGACGAAGTCTGGCCATTCTTGCCTCCAAGGAGCATTCTGGCTGCACTTCCTCCAGAGCAGACCTGTTAGTTCTTTTAGCAGTCCATGGTACTTTCAGCATTGTTCGGCAGCACCACAACTCAAAACCATCAACTCTTCTTCGGTCTTCCTTATTCATTGTCTGGCTCTCATATGCATATGAGGTGAATGGAAATATCATGGCTTCTGTCAGGCGCACCTTAGTCCTCAAGGAGACATCTCTGTTCCTTAGAACTTGAAAGAGGTCCTTTGCAGCTGACTTGCCCAGTGCTATACATCGTCTAACGTCCTGACTCTTGCTTCCATTGGCATCGATTTTAGAACCAAGCTATGTGAACTGAATTCTTTGACAACCTCAATCTTTTCTCCATTTATCGTGATGCTGCTTATTGGCCCAGTTGTGAGGATTTTTCTGTTTTCTTTATATTGAATTGTAATCCACACTGCAGACTGTATTCTTCAATCTTCATCAGTAAGTGCCTCAAGTCATCCTCACTTTCAGCAAGCAAAGTTGTGTTGTCAGTATATCACAGATTGTTAATAATTCTTCCTCCTATCTTGATGCCATGTTTTTCTTCATATAGTCCAGCTTCTTGGATTATCTGCTCAGCACATAGATTGAATAACTATGGGGAAAGGATACAACCTTGACGCACTCCGTCCCTGACTGTAAACCATGCACTGTCCCCTTGTTCTGTACGAATAGCTTCCTGTTCTATGTACAGGTTGCTCGTGAGTACAATTAAGTGTTCTGGAATTTCCATTCTTTTCAATGTTATCCACAATATGCTATGATCCACACAACTGAATGCCTTTGCATAGTCAATAAAACACAAGTAAACATCTTTCTGGTATTTGCCTTGAGCCAAGATCCATCTGACAGC